GAGTCCCGGACCTGGTGGCTTGCTTTCTCACTTTCTCTCTCTCTCTGGTCAAATTAAAATAAACAAATGAATAAGTAAAATTAAATAAATAAATCTTTAAAAAAAAAAGAATTATTTGTTAAAAATTTTAAAAAGCCCAACGTGAGCAAGCCGGTGGCATGGTGGTTAAGGCCTTGGACTCCCACGTGGTCCACCACAGTTCACATCCCTGGGAGCTTGAAAATCATGCCAAACATGTGAGTATCCAAAATCCCAGGAAGAAAATGGAGATGGAATTGCGGTGTGGCCGTGATCCCTGCGAGCTGATTTCTACTTTCTCTTTCCAGGGATTGCACATACCCTGTGTGTGTGGGGGGGGGGCCGGTGTGTGTGGGGGGGGGGGAGTTATTAAAATAAAACAAAAGCCCAGTGATAGGAGCAGGCTAGAAGAAAAACCGCCTCACTGTCCTGGCCCCCAGGCTTGAGCTCTGACCCCTGTCTCTCTTGACGACCTCTACAACCTTGGTTTAATTAGTTGTACCCCAATCTGAGCTTGAACTTCTTTACTAGAAGGTCTCCTTGACTCCAACACTTTGAAATACTTCTTTTCTTACCAAACCATGTTAAATATTTTATTTCCCCCTTTCTATTAATCAGGTCCGTAACTATACCCTATTGACGTGATCAGCATGAGTGACCGGCATGAGCGATCGGCAAGAGTGACCAGTATGAGTGACCCTACAGTGTCACATGGAGTTCAGGTCATTCTGGATTTGCCGTTCATATGCATCCGCGTGTTCCCTTGCTGGAGGGATGCAGACTGACATTATGGAGCACGCGTGTGCGCAACACTTTCCACGTTGTTATTCCATTTAGTTCAAACAACAGCCACAGAGGAGGGTATCGAGACTCAGGGACATATGCATAAATTCAAACCATAAGAGGAAGGGGCATGACGCAGGGTCACAGTGTTAACCTCTTCTAGAAACCCAGGATGGACCTCGCAGATCTGTTCCTACTCAAACCAGCCTCGGTCTCTGCCCGGTCTCTCTCCACTCCAAGCCCCAGCCTCTCAGGCTCATTTCTGACCTCGCCCGCTGCCTTGGAGCTCATCTTCTTCACTCTCGGGTTCAGGCACCTTCTCATCTTCCCTTCAATGTCCTCTAGCCTGGCTTGAGAGAAATTTTTCTCAGCTTCTCCGCCTTCCTTAGGTTTCCCCTTTGCTTCAGATAACACCACCATTCACCCAGCACCCAAACCAGGAATGCGGCTGTCCTCCCAGCCTCCAGCCACTCCCTCACAGCCCTTCAGGTGTTTGGTCAGGCCACCTGAAGGGCGCTTCCACCTTCTAAAAACCCCTCACCTTGGTCCACACTGCCCTGGGTCCAGTTGCACCATCTCGCTCCTGGACTACTAAATACATTTGGACTCTGTAGGGGCAAAGGTAATGTCTCACCTCCTCTCAAAGGTTCTGCTGAAAACCACTGACAGCAGCAGATTACGAAGAGAAAAGGCATACAGACTTATTTTAACACACATTTTCTACAAGGGAGTCATAGAAAGTTAGGAGCGTGGGGGCAGCAGGTGACGTGGAGGTTAAGGCTCTGGATCCCACACGGTCAACTCCGCAATTCAAGTCCTGGACCTTGACTTGAAAATCATACCAGGCACATGTGTGTGCATGCCCCGAACCCCCAGAGGAGAATGGAGAAGGGATTTCGGTGTGACCATCTCTCCCAGAGGGTAATTTCTGACTCTCTCTCTCTCTTTGTCTGTCTTTCTCTGGTGGACACACGGCCTTTTTTTATTATTTTTTTTAACAGGGTGCATGCTCTCGCCAGACAGACAGAGAGAGACAGAGAGACAGAAAGCAAGAAATCACCCCCCAGGGGGGATGGCCACGTCGCAATCCCTTCTCCTCCATTCTCCTCTCAGGATCTTGGGCACGCACGCACACACACCCAGCGGACACACAGGCCCTTTGGCAAAAAAAAAAAAAAAAAAAAAAAAAAAGGGGGGGGGAAAGAAAAAGAAAGAAAGTTATGAGCTCAAGGAAAACCGCAGTTCTCCTCAAATACTTTGCCGTAGGAGACAGGTAAATGGAGGGGAGGGGGGACAAAGGGACTCCGTGTTCAGATGACGGTTAGTGAAAGATTCTCGTTGGAAGGCGGAATGAGACCAACTTGTTACGGAAAGGTGAGAGGCAAGGGGTGAGAGTGCGCAGGAACGCAGGTCGTCTTACTATGCACATCATTTTTTAGGGAATCCCCTGCAGCTGCCCCCAGAAAAATAGGTGTCCTGGGTGTGGAGACCGTTCATCTTCCTTGTCTCTGGTTGCTTGATGAGATTCCTAGGGAGGAGGTTTAAGGCAATCCCATTTCTATTGGAAAGGAATTCTGTCAGGTAAATAAATAAATTCCAGAGAGCTCCTCCTCGCCCTTGGAGTCAGGGAGAAGGGACAGAGAGACCTTGGTCATTAGATAACTTTTTTTTTTTTTTGGTAGTTTGATGTTTGCTATAGGGTATGTGTCTTCACTCAAGAGAGTCAGAGAGAGAGGGGAGAGAGGGAACGTGAGAAATCCCCCTGGGGAGAGATGGCCACCCCACAGACCCCTCTCCCCCGTTTTCCTTTGGGGAGTTTGGGCACGCATGCACACACATCTGGTGCATTTCTCAACTGCCAGCTCCGGGACTTGAACCATACAGTCAGCCATGTGGGATCCAGCCACCTTAACCACCACTCCATTGGCTGGCCCCATTAGGCCCCTTCTAAGGCCCCTCAGCATGTCAAAGCACCAGTTTTGAGGTGTTAGTTTCTGAGTCCCAGTGAACTCCTTCCCATCTCTGCACCAGGGTGATCCCCCTAAAATTCAGATCAGGGTGTACCCCCAGGCATCCCGGCTGGACTGAGGCACGTCTCTTGCTCTCCCGAGCCTCCAAGTCCCTGCCTGTGCCAGGTACCCTCCAGGCAAGCCGCCCACAGCAGGTCCACCTGCCGGTCTGCCAGTCACCCACAAACTGCTCAGGGATCGGCTCTTCCGTGCAGCCTCCCTGACTCTACCTCCCAGATTCCCTGCACAGCAGAGCACGCATGCGCACATAGGCACACGCAGGCACACGCATGCATAATTCAGTGTTCTTCCTGTGCACTTCTGCAGCCCCTTCCCTGGTGCTTTGCAACGTCATTTATGTTTCATTGTGCTGGGTATCTGTGTGTCTCCACTAGACCGGGCTCCCTGAAAGCAGGCACAGAGTGTTGCTAACTCCCCCAGGAACCCCTGAGGCCAGGGTGCTGCTCCTCAGAGTCCCTGTCCTCTCTCCTCCCTCCAGTCCCACATTTCTAGACTCATGCTGTAAACCCTCTGCCTGCTCCCCACCACCACGACCTTCTGAACACCAACTTATTACCATTCTACAGAACCAGCTCCCACCAGTGTTACCAGAAACTTCCTTCTTACCAATGCCAGTGTTTGGGGGTTCAGTAAGGTTCAGAAGAGCAGAGCCACTCCACTCCTCTCCCCACTCACTCCCTCCCCAGAAGGAAGAGGTGAGACGGGCAGATGGGCTCAGAGCAGCCCCAGCTCCGTCCTGCTGGGCATGGCCCCTCACTCCCAATCGCCTGGTCACGTGAGGAAGGGGCACCTCCTATTATGCGCCCCTCCTCCCCTGAGGACCCCGCCATCTTGAGCCTACAGATGGGCAGCTGCTCTCTGTGAGGACATACAGGGAAGTCATTTCAGGAAGCAACCCATGGGGAAGATACAGATCTTTTGAGAGTCAGCTCAATGGCCTGATAGTTAAAGAAGTCTGTGCCGTATGGCCAACTGGTAGTTCAAATCCTGGGCCTGGTAGCTTGAGAAACATTACGAGGTGTGTGTGTGTGTGTGTGTGTGTGTGTGTGTGTGTGTGTGTTCTAAATCCGGACAGGATGGGGAAATGAAGAAGGGATTACAGTGTGATCGTGCCCCATTGGGGAGGGAGGAGGAAGTGCATTCTCCATCTCCCTCTCTCTGTGCCTCTGTCTCTCTCTGACAAATGCAAAACTATAAAATTTTTAAAAAAATATTTCGGGGAGTGCTTTTTCCAGGCAGTTAGCTGGAGAAACCCAGAGAGCGGAGGTGAGGTGGCATCTCGCACAATGGCGGCTATGGAAGCTAGTGGCAGCAGTGGGAAAGGGCAGGGACCCGAGACCTCCGTCACCTACTACCGGCTGGAGGAGGTGGCAAAGCACAACTCCTCAAAGGAAATATGGCTGGTGACCCACGGACACGTCTACCAGATCACCCACTTCCTCAGTGAGCTTCCTGGTGGAGAAGAGGTTCTGCTGGAACAAGCCGGTGCAGATGCAAGCGAAAGCTTTGAAGATGTGGGCCACTCCTCTGGCGCCAGAGACGTGCTCAAGCAGTGCTATACTGGTGACGTCCATCCGAGTGACCTTAAGCCTGAAGGTGGTAGCAAGGACCCTTCCAAAGAGAGTGCGTGCAAACGCTGCGGATTTTCTTGTATTTTCCCCATCGTCGGCGCTGTTCTCTTAGGTTTCCTGTATCATTACTACCCACAGAAAGCAAACCCTCCTGAGGAGATCTTGCTGAAGTCTGAAAGGCACATCTACTTGGGAGTGGAAACTAGACACTTGCCTGGGGCTGTAGTGGCGCTCTCTCCTCGAATCTCGCCGGTTGTATTCTTCCCTTTGGAGCCAAGACAGTTGGCCAGACGTCCACCTCAGGTCTGGGGCCAGTGTCCTTCAGCTCGGAGCCTTATTTCCAGAGTAACTGCTCGCCATTCTGCATCCTTGTCCAGGCGTCCTCTCTTCACTGGTTTCCATGAGCACCCTTACGTTTCAGAACTTTCTGCCAATAACTGCAGTTCAGATGTAGTGACACTGCTTGTTGGTAAAAATGCCTGCTTTCTAGTACTTTGAATGCACATTTGACATTCTTAAGAGGGCTACACTCTAGTTTTAAAGGTATTCTTTTTCCATTTTCTTTACTTTTTTTTCTCTCTCTCTCTTTTTTTTTTTTTTTTAGAGGTTTTTGCTATAGGGCGTGTGGGCTCGCCAGAGAGACAGAGAGAAACAGACAGACAGAAAGTGAGAAATCACCCCCCGGGGGGATGGCCACGCCGCAATCCCTTCTCCTCCATTCTCCTCTCAGGATCTTGGGCACGCATGCACATGCGCCCGGCATGAGTTTAAGCCACCGGGTCCGGGACTCAAACCGCAATCGACTACATGGGAGTCCAGCAACGTAGCCATTACACCAACTGCTGGTCCCCCCATTTTCTTTCCATTAAAGTTTTTTTTAATTCTGATTTAATTATATTATTTACTATAAAGAGTTTAATCCATGAAGTAAAGGTGTGTACCTGTTATTTAAAATTCAACTGCCAGATGATTTTGTTCCTTGTTTATGTTTGTTAAAACTAGGATTGTGGTCATTTCCTACCTCCCAAGCCAGTGTAACAAGTAGCTAGCTCTTCCACCCTCTCCCAGTCCTCAGGGCCAACTCCTTTTCTTCCCAGGTTGTGCTCCACAAAATTGTGCTTCCCTTGTATTTCTTGGGAGTGGGAAGAAACAAGAAAAGAGAATGATGAGTTAAGGTTATAGAATCCTGATGAGGAACCAGCAGTTGGCGTAATGGCTATGTTGCTGGATTCCCATGTAGTCGACTGCGGGTCAAGTCCCAGACCAGGTGGCTTAAACTCACGCCAGGTGCATGTGCATGCACGCCCAAGATCCCGAGAGGAGAATGGAGGAGAAGGGATTGCAGCGTTGCCATCCCCCCTGAGGGGTGATTTCTCCCTTTCTGTCTCTCTGTCTCTCTCTGTCTTTCTGGCCAGCACATGCGCCCTATAGCCAAAACCTCTCAAAAGAAAAAAAAAAAAAAAAGAACCCTGGTGAATTCAAAGAAATCTTTTTTTTTTTTTTTTTGAAAAATGCTACTCAGCTAGAGTTCAGAAGAAGCACCAACACTTTCACTTTGATTTGGCACCAGTTTCCCAGTTTCTAGCGATCTCTTTCTCCCCTCCCCCCAGTTATCTTGTATTGGTAAAATATTGATAGAAGTGTAGAATTATGTTTATAGAAGAGGAATTTTTGCTGCTTATTATTTAACGATTAGCAAACATTTGATTCCCTGTTTTATAAAAGTAAGAGACTTCAATCTAATCTTCTGTTGGCCTCAGTAAAATAAATTCCATAAAATAATGGCATTTGAAAGTGGGAGATGATGACAAGAGATCGTTTTCCATTTCATCTGTATTTTACCTCCCTGGCTCCAACTTGTGGTTTTGTTCTGTTTGCCCATTGAGAATTAAATAAATAAATAAATATAAACCACTGGGAGAAAAATAAAAAGATCTTCCGGGGGCCAGCAGGTGGCATGGAGGTTGAGGCGCTGGACTCCCACATGATCAACTATGGTTCAAGTCCTGGACCTAGTGGCTTGCTTTCTCACTTTCTCCCTCTCTCTCT